TTAACTTTTCACGACGGTTCTCATATACTACTTTTTTCTCAAAAATAGTGCATCTTGAAGTAGATATACATAATGCTGTTATGAAAATTTGATTTTTAATACTATTTTCAGTTTATGTAATTTAACAATGTCAGATAGTGATTGTGTAGAATTCAAACCTGATTTTGATCTTTGATTTACTGATCGAGCGATGAATCTCTCCAGAAATTTCTAATTTTTGTTAATTTTTCGACTTTTCCGGCTACGATTAAGTTTAACGATAGTAATCTGTACTTATTCTACATGTTTTCAAAAACAAAAAGAAGCTATGAAGTATTGGCAATAAACATTTACGAATGCTAGTAGTTTTTAGACTTTGTTTTTCTCTGTGTACGTGTTTAGGTAGTCGACAAAGGTTAGAAAAATATTTTCGCGACCAGATTTTTGTTGATTTACGTTAAAACAAGTCACGCTGCATAGAGTAGACATTCGAACACGATTTCTTTTAATCCTGACAACTGCTTCTGAGAAATACCTTGCTGGTTAAGACCGTCTGAAACATATTCAAGAGAGCAGATAAAATTTTGTATTACTTGTGGTTTTGTGATTCTCACATCGTTCGTAATGAGAATGTCATTTTTTTCTACTTATTCTCGTCCAAGAAAACGTCTGGGAGAAAAATGAATAATTAGAATCTTTGAAAGAAATCCGCCTTTTAGTCCAAGCGGCGTGCTCATTTCGAATTCTCTTCAATTCTACGTATCGGCGACGATATGTTATTGTGTGCCTCTTTTCATTATATCTCTACTATTCGGTTCGCAAGGCGTCTGTGCCTTATCGTATGCTCGGAAAGCATCCAGATCCACCATAACATTATGGTAGCGTACGAATGAAATTTCAAATGCACCGTTATACAATCACTCATCCTGCCAGAAGGTTCCTGAGGCACTCTCATGTTGTAATATGCCTGCCAGAAGATTTCTGAGGCATCCTATTGTAATGACAGATGTGATAACCACTGTATAGTGTCGTGATTGATTGCTCAAAAGATTGCAATCCGATTAGAGTTAAGATCAATGCTTCTCAAAACCTCAGATATCCCAACACCTTAGTACACGAACGGCTCAGCATGGTAGGAGACGTGATGCACGTATGCAGTACCGAGATGAATACTTATAGGGTATTGTGATGCGTCGTCGAGAGTATCCGAGGTATTGGGATTGGAACATCTCTAGTTGGTAGAAACAGGACTGCTTCGTTCAATGATAAACATACAAGAAGTTGCCCGTAAGTATGAATGTTCTCACAAAACTCATACACTTAGAAAATATAATGACAATTGCCTCAATCGATAGACACCAATCAAACAGTAGCACCAACTGCATTCGAATAATCTCCAACACGGCAAACAAGTACTAAGACGGAACTTATACTATTAAAAATTTTTGAATGCTCTATATTCATACTATATCAAATGAAAATCCTTTCTCGAAATAAAATCATTTACTTATTCATTACCAAAGAATCTGAATTACCCCACTGTACCACTCTAAATACTATGCCTTTTTCTAGATAACTGATAAAGGACCTCATAGTAAGGACAGTAAAATCATCTAACAGTACAAGCAAACAAATTGCACCATAAAAGTGAAAGACATCGAAATCAACAACCACAGTTAGCTGCGAAAACATCACAAATAAATAAATCAACCGATGTTTCTTCTTATATGAACATTTATTTGAGCATTTTGACACTATTACTTTCGAGCAATAGCAGAGCAGATTTTTGTCTTTCATACAAGATTGAAATCAATCCTCTCGCGATAGTTTTTGGACTACTGTAGTTATTGATAAAAACAAGTTAGAACAATCACACTTCTACGATGTCATCAAAAGTCTTAATCTATAATATACAAAATTATGCCCTTTGAAACGTATAATGACCTCGACCATCTTGTGTGTTGAAGTAGTAAGCAGAAAGAAATAGAAAAAATATCGTAATTAACGTTGATAGAGTACCACTGATCAAGAGCATACGAGCGATTCGAGTACTGGGCTTCTTCCATTGAGCTACACTGGGTTGACGTGCATCATATCAACATGAAGCTCGAGTATTGATCTGTAAAGCAAAGAGTTGAAAGTTTTCCTGATTTCATGGCTTTAAATTAGCTTCATTCATCTTTGTAGTAGTGTGCGATAATGAGTAGTTCTGCACAGAATGCGATTTAGTAATTACGGAGCTCTCTCAAACATCATCATTGTTGCCGTTTGTGCCCCCAATATAACAGAACTTATTTTCTATTCTCGAATTTCATCTAAAATGAATCATAGGCAGTACCTTCAATCCGTCAATCCAGGAGCTCAATTGAAATGCTACTCGGATAATTGTGACAATTACTTTCTTCTATATAAAAATGCTGAAATCTACATATCTCTCTTCCACTTATCAAGTCATTATATATGAATAAAACGAAACAGAAGTCGAACTCGATCGCTAATATTAGTATTTACCTGATATTCAATTGTTTTCCTTAGTGCTTCATCAATAGATCGATATTTTCTTTCACTTTCTGCGGTAGTGTTGATTGACGGTTTTCTACTGAGTTGCACATTCCATGCAGCATTATAGCAGTTAAACTTTGAATAACGTGTTTGACATGTATAATTTCGATAACTAAACGTTAATACTAAACAAATATCTTCTTTATAATTGGCTTCTTTTGGGCGCTCTCGACGATAGTAGATACCGCCAAAAATGAACAGAAGAATAGCAGCAAAAAAAAATACGAAACCAGTGTAGAATGGGATGACTGTCTTAGGCTTCTCGCAAAATTCGGTACCCATGCCAAATACGACTTGTAAAAATGAAAATCGTTAGTTGCATTGCTTCTTTTGTAGATTTTTTATGTGTTTGACGTTCGAAAAATTACTGTCAATATTTAAGCACAACATAATGGAGGCGTTGTTCGTTGACGCGACGTGAAGTGAATAAAAGAAATCCATTAGAACACAATCGACATCATTTTGTACAACTGAGCAATTTTCGTATTACAGAACACTTATTATTCATGTAAAGCAAACACTTTTCCTTGTCAAAAATTTTTCATAATCATTTCATTCACTCTCTCAGCATGAATCGACTACTGATTCTAGTCAATAACAGTCAATAATTCAACATGTAAGAATCAAATGCACAGCAGAGCTAGAGTGTGGATGTGTGAGTGCGAGTGTGGGTGTGGATGCGGATATGAGTCTAGTATTCCCTCTTACCCACACCCACACCCACATGCACACGGTTGATTACCCATGATTGAGTTTCACAAGATAACAATAGTAGAATTGGATTTCTCACCTACACACGAAGAAAATAATGTGGCATAATTTGTGTCACACAACCGTTTTGGGTTGGGAACCTTGTAGAAGACATGCTGTGCGTCATTAAGAAGTGCAACAAGTCTTTTTCGAGTGCATCATACATGTATCACTCATTTATCCGATTGTATATCAAGAATGTGATCAAATTTTCCAGTTTCAACTTCATTGCACGAAGAAAAAAATATTACCTATATTGTAATCTATTTATTTTTACCCAATGACTATGATAGATCCTAATCACACATAGAAGCTTTGAAATTGATTACCAAAGAAAAACTAAGCATAAGCGGAGCAGAGCAGAAAATAGCTGAACAGGTTTCTTATCGACCGAAGAGAATACAGCGAAAGTTTGATGATTGTAACAGACGACACAAACACAACATCAGAGCAGAGAAAAGAGCAAAACTGCAAAGATTCCAATAAAATAGAGTGACCGTAGTCTGCATATAAGAGTGATGAATCTCCTTAGTATGCATCCAGAAGTATTTCGTCGATGGAGCGCATCCAAAGAGATGACACGTGTCTTGATGTCATCAGCTAGCGAAACACGTAGCACACAGAACAAGAAGTCTAACATGCAGAGTAGAACAGGAGAATTTGAAATCTAAATTACGTGCTGTTGATTATAAGTCCGAAGCAAACCTGGCCGAGTTTCATCTTCTCAATTATCTCGATTTTTTACGAGATTCATTTTGAAATTGTTCTTTAAACAAATGTGAGAAAATAGCATTTGAGTTCACTCATTTTGAAACTAGAACAATATAACATTTAGTACTAAGAAATACATAAATTGAGGCATGGCGCTTTGATTAAAATCAACAATCAATCGATACGATAAAATATAGTAATGTAAGCAGCTTAATATATCAATAAGATACGATAGAAGAAAAGGAGATAGTTATAGAATAGGTGAAATGTTGCGTGATCATCAATAGTATATTCATGACAGAATACGAACGCGATCACCTAAATAGTAAAGACCAACGCTTAGTTGCCATGGAAAACGACACTTGTTCGTATCAACATCGAGCGTATGCGTATTCTTCGTTCGTTGATTTGTCCAACGTATTGTTCGTCGATCACAATCAATCATTAACTCGATTATATCATTTATTTCTAAATCACTTTTATAGCCACCGGAGTGTGTTTGATCTACACCATTTAGATACACGCTATTGTTTCCGCCCCATCCATAAATTGTCGGAGTAGAATATGAAAGTGGCTGCATAGGTGCATCTCTAGATACTATCCCAAAAAAGATCCACTTATCTGTATGTAAGTGTTCAATCTTAAAGCGAAATCGATGTTGCGCAGAAGAATATTCGTTTTTACTACGCGCCGTTCCATGATCGTTCATTTGGTCATGTGCAATAACCTGGCCATAGTCTTCGATTCGAATACTTCCAGCCGTTTGATTAAATACATCTTTTGAAGTGACATCTATTCCATTGATAATAATTTTTGAGATGAATGAATTTGGAGCATTATCCTGGGTAACATCAATAGTTAATAGTACAATCGAATCTTTCTTCAATTTATCGAGCATTTCTATCCATCTCTTTAAATCTGTGTCAACAAAATTACGATCATTACGAGCCTTGCGCAACTCTTCCGTAAGACTTGCCGAAGATTTTTTAATTTCATTCATATGTTCACCAAATGCATTTGATAATTGTTTTCGTGTATTATTAGCCACTTCACGAATCTTGATAATCGATTGTTCTTCCCATTCGTTGATTTTTTTTACAAGAGAATCACGTCGAGATTGTGTTATCTGTTCATTAATTATCTGTTTCAATTCATCATTCTTGATAATAATGTCATCCATCTGTTTCTTTAGAGTCTGTCGATGTTCAATGAAATGTGGCGCACAAAAATCTTTCATACATCCGTGACATCGAGAAGTGCCTGTCGCATAGATACACGTAGCACATGTCGGCTTCTGTGATGTTGATGAAGCCATATTTAAATGGATATACGTCTGAACCACGTACCAACAAGATAGACTAAGTAAAATGAGAACGAGAAAGAACGATAAACTTTTGTAATGGGCGACTTATAATTCAACGTGTAACTATAGTACAAGAACATTAATGATGAATGGGAATAAGTTTACTAAATATGAATATCAATAGGAAAGGTTGTCGATAGAATTAACGAGCAAATTGAGATTGAATTATCAGAACAAAACGAAGTTAGTTCCTTCTTTACAGTCTTCTACTAGAAAATTTTCTTGTATATTGTTCGTGTCTATCCGATTGATGATTGTATATCCCAGTTGTAAGATGGCAGTTCGCATTCTTGCAATAGACAACAGAATCCACGATTCAATGTGAGCGAACAAGATGGATTTTTGTCTGAAAAATCGTCAGACATTTCAGAAATCCATACAAACATATGGTAATCATCAGATTCTCGGTCTGCATTCAAGATTCTTATTTGATCGAGTTTCATTTAAACTCAATAAAAAATGGTTTATGTTCAATATGAGGTACAGAAAGCATTATTCTATGTTCATCGATATACGTGCCTGAGATAGAGAAATGTATGGCTTCCTTTCGAGAGTAAAATTGGAAAAAAGTTATTGCTCATTCGTGTTTATATCTTCTGACCTGCTCATGCACTCAGCTATTGGTTTCTTCCTCACATTCTCAAGCAACACTCGCCATATCAGCTAAGACAACCTTGCACATCTTTTCGTTGCTTACAGACTTTTTCGCTTTGAAATCATCATTCGGCAAGACTTTATTCGCAAAAATGTCGGTTTTAATCGAGCTCCGTGACTCAAACTTCAACTCTTCGAAGAAACATACATCTAATCTCGCATTCCAAGACTTATCAATTTTTCTCGAACAAGATTCTGCCGCTTTTTTTCTATTCAAAAACAGGTTATGTATGAAGAAGGACAATAATATTTTTGTCGTTTTACCCGGTATTGTTGGTTTCTTCCCAGTCGATGTTATGGCAAAATCTAGAAAAAAAATAATCCAGAAAAAAATTGGAGAAAAGAAAATCAGGAAAATACTAGCATATATACGGTACTCGTCAGCTTATTCAATAAACAGGAATACGCAAAGATATTAGAACAATCATTTAAACGATAGATAGACCAGATTATTTTTCTATGCAAGCAACAATGAGAGGCTTTCGAGATCTGAAGGATGTGATATGCATTATAAATTGGAAAATAATTTATAGAGAATAAACAACGATTTTCTAGGAATGCCCATATGAATTCAGTGATGAATTTCTACTTTCTTGAAAATCGTATTTTCAAGAAGATAGGAATAAGAAATTCGTATTGCATTTAGCGATTGGAGCATTGTCTAGAAATTTGAAAATCAACCAAGACTTTCTGTTTTCAATAGAAAATGCATCACATAAAATAATAAATAATTTTAATTTTAATTCGAATAAATTCATCAACATTTAATTCACATAAAATAAATAAATAATTTTAATTTTAATGCATACTAAATGGACCAATTCACGCGATAGCTGAAGAAATATCATTTATCAACTCACTGCAGCTACCGGAGAAAATAATGAACGCACAACACTACTGGCTGACTTATATACATGAATAAACGATGACTCTATAGTGGTCATCGTTGGAATGATTTTCCAGAAAGTTGCTTTTATTTTTGGCTTTTTCTAAAATTTATATTTGAGTTTCTATAATTTAGAAAATCAAGCATTTTCTGAATATTTCTAATTCGACGAATGAATAATAAAAATTTGAAAATGCTCTAGCATTTTTAAAGTCGATTTTCTACAAAATAGAACTTAGAAAAATATTTACAATGTGCATATTGCATCCTCTGAATAGAACTTCAGCATGACGCTTCATGCTTCTTTCATATCCATTAAAAAAAGCAAATACACCAGCAGCACGTCTTACCATTTTTTCATCTTATATTTACCTATTGATTGGTCGGATTTTTCTTTTCTATGGCAGAGAAAGTCTACGTCTGATACTCAACTGATGTTATTGACGGCTTTGGATGCAAAGCATCAAATGACTTATTTTGCGTTCTACTATCAGTAAATATACATTTTTCTTGCACTCAATGCTATCATGTAGACACCGCTCACATACAAGTAGTGTTCATTGGATGCCGATTTAATCGTTCCTAGGCTGAAAGAGTATGAAAGATGATATGGGTCGGTATCTGTGTGCAAATCTGATCTGACAGTCGGCACATAGCGGTTTTATAAACGTATTTCAGACAGACACGCTCACATCCTATTGCTAACGAAGAACTTCTGATTTTTAGTAGGCTCAAACTTTTTTTGCAAAAAAAATCGACTTTCTGCTAATTTTTTTAGTTTTTTTCCCGCTCCTAAAACCAATCGAGAACCCAGGTCTAGCAATGCCTAGCGGCGAAATGCATCAACAAGACTAAGTACTTTAATCTTGTCGATGTATTTCGTCACTAACCAAAGTTACACAGCTGAAACTTTCAGAAATAAAAGATCTTGATTAGATATATATATGATAAAAATTGCAGTCCTCTACGTCAAGAAAAAGCATGAAAAATATCATGAACAATCTATCCTCAGTCATTATGGAACAACTCTTCTCTTTCCAGACGCTTACGAGATGCAATATTGGAGCTGTCAAATAGCTTACACTTGAAAAAATAAACATGCTTACGTTCGTAGATGTCAACAAAAGATTGAGTTACTCGATATGATCTATTCTTTTTTTCTTTTCCTTCTATATCCTATCAGTATATTTTTTTTGCTCTATGCATCCTGTTTGAGCGTGCTATTTCTTTTTCATTCTGTACTTCGCACTATATATTAACTGTTCTTTGTAAATTTACTCTTTTTATTCTTTTTCTTTCTTTCTTTCTTTCTGTTACGGTACACAGTAAGGAGCCGGGCGGACATATGTGCAAATATTCTTTTTTAGAATCTAGTCGTTTGCGTAGATACATGCATATGTGATTTATCATTTTCTAAAATAGAGATTCTCAAAGGTGTGAATGTAGGTGAACAAAAGACTAAAATCCACACCTACACCAAAACCAACCACAGTAAATCGTCAGACAGAGGAAAAATAAAACTGAAGAAGTTTTTTCACTCATTTGAGGTAACATAAAGTTTTGCTTGAAATAAAAATATTTTGAGATCCATAGTTGATAATATATTTGAAAAAAATTGTATACATAAAAGGTTTCTTACTGACTCTAATCTTTGAAAACCTTTTCAATGGTGGGATTTTGAGAGGCAACGAAAGTTTCGTAACTTAACTTTTATATAACCAATATGTGTGAAAAGTTTCACATAAATCCCCAAAACTGGATCGAAAAACATCTTTGAAGATGGGATGTAACCTATAGAAAAGTTTACCCAGAAACTACACGGTGGGTGTGGGTGTGGGTGTGGGCGTGAGGGTGTGTGGGCGTGGAGTGTGGAGTGTGGGTGTAGGGTGTGTGGGTGTGGGTGGGGAGTGTGCTGTAGTCGTCGTGTTCTTATGTGTATCCGCACCCACACCAAGAGACACACCCACACCCTCCAATTCTCGTGCTCTTCATCTATAGTCGCTCAAATAATATAATCAGGGCGATGTTTATTCATAGACTTCAATTTAAAGTGTGGAAATGCCAATCGGATTCAGTACTTTATGTGAATTACCAAATACATATCCGTCTCTGCACATCCATAGATATGTGAGATTGATTATCTTCTCAGCATCCAGTTGAAAGATTTGCTTTTCGATTATGAATAGTGAGTCCTAGTGAATATGGTTGGCTCATAAAAAAGTTCCACTGAAAACTCAGATTCGCGCGCAACATTGAACTTTCACTAAATCGTTCGGTATCAATTCAGTGCTTAGTGTAACTAGAGTTGTTACTAAAATAAGACGTTCTTGAGTTCTGGCTATCTGAAGACATTTCAAATTCTGTTATGTACGATTTCTGAGATATAGGGCATCAAATTTGCCTGAAATCATCATTTATTCTCTTGAAGCGAAATCTAGAGACTTTAAAGTACTCAACCGATCCAACAAAGAACTTTATTTTCTGCATAAATCATGGTTGTTTGTACACGAGAGGCATTTCAGTTCAACTAATCTAGTCATTTTTCATATTTTCAGTCTGCGAATCCTCTACTTTCACTCTTCATACTTTACCGGCGCACGAAAAAGAATTCAAGAAAATGTCCAGCTCTCAATACTCTAAACAATGCTTTATCTCATGATCCATAACATATTTTCATCTCTCATTTATTTTCATTTACAAAATATGAAGCTTTGTTTGGAATACAGTCAGTAAACTATCCGGGATTAGCTCTTTCGTCATCCTTATGATACACAATGCTATTGTATACAAAGTTTAGGCGCAAATATTTTTTATTGTCTTTAATCTTACTTCGTTTGGACTTAAATCTACTAGTAGAAGATTATAATCATTGTGCTCTCTGTAAATATTTGAGTAAGCACTAACAATATATATTATGTCATAACCTCTATCATGGAATTTTGATGTAGAACTACACACTCAGTTCGAGACTGTTAGTAATGACCTCTACTGCAGCTCGTTTACGTACGTCACAGGTTGATACCACTATGATGTTGTACATTCTAGATGTGTCTTCCGCATTTTCTAGCTCGAATCTCAATCTACCGTATTGCTTGACGGTAAAGTTCCTCTAAAATTTGTGATTTTCATCAAAAACTGATTTTTAAGACCATTATACTGAATAGAACGAAAGGTGTAGAACACTGAAACTTTTTCTAGTGATATTTCTCTATAAAGTGTAGCTTCACTGAAAATTTCACAATTCCATCATATTGCAATCATGAGTTATGACGAACCAATGTTATCTAAAATGTGAATTTTTTGGAATATTGGATGAGTCATAAAAAAATGAAAAGGTTATAGTTGTAAGTTAAAAATTCTATTTTGATTACAACCCATTAAGTTATATGTCTACAAAAAATTTCAACTCAATCGATCAAGCCATTTGTGAGGGCGTGAGTGTGGCCGTGTGAATCGGTATCTTGTCTTCTTCCACATACTCACACCCACACCCCTGGAGTACAAAAAAATCATCTATGGTCGATATTTTGTGCAATAGTATAGTTATATATATAATGCATTCAAATAACTAAAACAAAATCTTGTATAAAGAAAAATGAGTCGTAGATTCATTATATTCTTGAATTTTCCGTATAAAATTTATTTGCTCTCACGATTAAAGCTAATATTCTTCATTCAGTCATGAGAGAGATGTTGCATCTCTAAAGTCTTTTATGACCTGAGAGATTCTCTTGTGATAATCTAATGTTTTGACGTTTGTATGTGCACACTATGAGCTTTGAAACAAGATATGAATGGTAAAAATTAAAAATCTGCTTCCAAGCGATCATTATTTATTTGGATAGTTCTTTTGTAAAGTCTCTTTTAATGTTTTCCAATTGCATTTCTCACTTTTCGTGTCAAGACGAAAATTCTATCATTGATGTGCGCATAGGTCCTTGCTCATTTTAATACAGTCCATATCGATACCCGTGCTGAATCTGTGACTACCACGTTCTATCACTGAATACCCATGATGATAATAAAATGTTTCGGCATTTAGTGAGGCATCTAAATTCAGTTTATGTGCACCGTGTAGTATAGCGAGTTTTTCAAGAGTTGCTAAAATCTTCGTTCCAACACCATGACGAGCAAAGGCTGGATCGACATAGAGTGCACGAAGCTCTTGTTGGGAGGGAATGACGGAACCGAATCCGACGATCATATCGTTCTCGCTCGATACGGCGACCATAATTAGTTCTTCGTTGTTCTGTATCGCTTGATGGAATCGATTGAGACGGCGTTCATCTGTGGCTGAAGGCGACCAACCTTGAAGAATATTTTGTGTATAGAAGTTTGACGTTGCTGGTCCATGAACAGCGGCATAGTGAACACGGAGAATAGCTTCAACATCGGAGATTGTGGCAGAGCGAACGTGTATCATGACGAGTGAGGCTAATATTATTTTTTATGAGAGTGTGAGAAGACGGTCGAGATAAGGATTGAGAAAAGAGGAGGCAGAATAATATCTATATGCTGTGTCTCGTTTTTTATTGTTTACGACACTTGTTGAGGTTCTTTCTTCGATAACAAATAAAAATTACTTTGTAATATTCATCATTTTGAGTCAGAACTAGTTTGAAATGCCTCATGCATGTAATTATTATATTGATATAGCATAACAATCTGAAAATTGTTTTTTGAATTCGACACTAAAAAGTTGTCATGATGCCTACTATTTAATATTGATCAACTACATTTTCCGTGCGTTCTAGTTAGGTATAAAATTTGTTGCGGATACCATTTGAAATCAAAGTATTATCTTCCAGAAAAAACATTTTTATCCATCCTGTACAGATTTTCAGAGAAGAATATTACGAAAGTAAAATCTGCAAACATTCACCATTGAATTTTTTTCAAGGAAAAGAAGGTACGTACTCCGATTTGTCTCAAGATGTCGCAAAAATCAAATCTGAGTCAATTATTGCTTAGCCTTTGTTTTAGAAAAACAAGAATTTCATACAAATTAAAATCGATTCAAAATGACAGTATTAATAGATAAATGCCGTATTAGGCTTTCTAACGTCATCAATCGCATCGGTTGCACAGAGAACATACGCTTAGATATGGTCTCATGGAAAAGAGGGAGAGAGAGAGAAATAGAAAATGAAACATATGACAGAAAGGAAAGACATACATATTGTCACAATCGAATATCATTATAAAGAAGAGTTAACACTAAAAAAAGAAGAATCGACTGTTGATGTTAATTAATCGTTGTTGTTGTCCATTCAATGGTTTGGCTAGGCTGAACAAGCATATCCATGTCGAGACCGTATATGATTAAAATCTAGAAATGAAATATCTTTATTCACCAGTGAATTCGTTATTCCTAAAGCTTCTATTTCGATAGTGTGGCTTGAAACTATTGATATGGTCGATCTATTATTTTGCTTCGGAACCGGCAGTTCAGGAAACTTCTCACAAATAGTTGTCAAATAACTGCAGTGATCCAAGAAATGGAAATTGCTCAACTCGTCGAAGTTCGTCTTCTTTAGCGAAAGGAGAAGTACATATATCGGATATTATCAAGTCTGACTTTTGATTCGTTGTTCAATGGGTAAATGTTCCTTATCTATAGTTTCCAATGATTTATACTCAAGTTGCATTTTCAGAAACATTGAGTTATTTAGTATAGGCAAGCAAAGAGTTTTTTTTAATAATTACTAAGTGCATATACGAAATTCTATGCTCTGAAGCAGAATCAACAGCCGTAGGTACCCCAACGGAAAATTCTTAACTTAAATTACATACTTGATCAAAAACATTGTAGAAAAAGTCCTTGTGATCTTTTCCATTTACAGTGACACTCGTTACCACTTTGCTAACACCGAGAACTCGAACAAGTTCCAAACGCATCGGTGAATCTTTGTAATTCGCTACGATTGTATCGATGGTCAAAGTGTTCTATTCAGCAGTAAACATCTAACTTGCAATTTCTCTTTCAATTGTTCTACTCACCAGAACTAATGAAAATTCCAAGTAGTTGTAGGCTTTTGCTTCAATCGAATCTTAATAAGAAAAAGGAAAAATAAGTACGATTGATATTATTATTATTAAAGATTTACTCACCAATGGTATCACCATCATCCCAAAAGAGGTTTCCAGTCGCATTTTCCGATGCTGATTGAGCAACAAGTAAAGTAAATGGATTTCCACGACCAATCATTAAATTAGATCCAGGTATTTGCATTGGAATGATAAAGCCACCTCGAACATGAACATTTATCTTTTCTAGAGGAGCATCAAGATCAGTAAATACACCGATAACTTTCACTTTAACACCTGATGAAAACTCATACCAAACATCTTGTGGAATATACGCATGTACTGTAGTTGTTTGCTAGAAAAGTTTTGAATATAAAACAAGAAGGATAGAGAATAATATTTACTGAAACAAGATTTGGTGAAACAAGAATGGCACGGCCAATTAAAAATTGTTGATCGATGCCAAGTGTTTTGTTGTCATTTGGGAATCTAAGAGATTCATATAGTTCGAAACAAAAAAGACAAGAGTCAGAAATAGAGTACTCGAAATGAAGTGGTTGTACTAGAGTTTTTGACAACGTTGTTGCTTGATAATGAAGAGTGTACCAGAATGGAGATAGGGAATATCGCATTAGCAATGCTTGTTTCATGATCTGTTGACTTGTCCAGGAGAATGCAGCAGGATCTTGATCCTATACGTATTTTATAAAGAAATCAGTGAATGGTGCCATTTTAATCTTGAACGCACCTTATCACCGGCAGCATTGTGATTTCTCATAAAAGGATAGAATGCACCCAATTGCATCCACCGTGTACACAATTCTTCAGTTGTATCATGAAAGAAACCACAAACATCGACACCGACATTGGGTATACCGAACATGTTGAAACTGAGAATGGCTAGAAGACAATAAAAGAGTAGACATAAGCAAAAAATAGAAAAAACTTCGGTTTTTCTCTTCAAAATCTGGTTTCGAGAAAAACGAAAAACAACAATTTTTTTCCGATTTTTTAGCACAGGTTTTTGTTTTATTCATATATTTTGGACGTAAAAGTGTAGATTTTAGTCTCGAAATGTGTACATCAGTTAGCAAACATTTCGGCCTATGTAATGAATGAAAATAATGAGAGAAACATTTTTCACTATCTGATGGTTTTGAATTCTAATAGGACCTTCGTTTCATTCAAAAAAGTAAAGGCTATAATTTTCTAAAGATATGGAGGATGAACCGATTAATATAAATTTTAGCAAGATCGAGTCATTTTGTGTTTTCGTATTCTTCTGTATCCTTAAACGACAAGAAAATCTATTAGAGTCAAACAAGGACCCTTCTTCTTTCATCTGCACATTATGAATATGTACCTGGAATTGAAAAGTACATATCTTCGAATGTTGCGCGATTATCACCGGTCCAATGGGCAGCGTATTGACCCGAGCCGGGAAATGTCGAACGAGACAAAACGAATGGTCGTTTATGACGAATTGCTTTCAGTGCACTAGAACATGAAATAAATCAATCATTTGAAATGTTCTCAGTCAGACATTTACAGATTAGTGGCTTTTGCTTCGAAATAACCATACATACTGTGCAAATTATAATGGGAGGAACTTGCATGTTGTGCAGATGGACATAATGTTTTTGCACTGAGCGAATTGTCGAGTACGTCTTTGAAAAGATCTCATAATTCTGTGTTCGATATATTATGTAACAGACCTACTTGGAACAAATGGAGGTTTATCTAATGAATTATTTGTACAACCATCAATGGAACCATCAACGCCATTTAATGGTTCATTCTTATCCTAGAAAAGAATCTAAATGTATTGATGGCGACTAAAACTTTCTACAAAATTGAATATATTTCATGATTTATATTTCTAGTGTTAAGATAAATGAGAACAACTGTTGAATCGTTTGCCGTTCAACGGATTCTAAGACATGTATACGTACATTCCAAATACCATCGAATGGAATTATATCGTGAAATGCAGCAGCAATATTCGTCCACCATTCAACAGTACTTGCATTGGTAAAATCTGGAAATACTGTCAATCCTACTCATGAAAATGATGTTGAAGATCAAATCAACCGTATCCACCGATTATTCCTACCTGGTGAAACCTAAAATATATTTATGCACATCGATATACTATCGCATTAACATAAATAAAAGAATACTTGTCCAATAATTAGTTCAGTTGAATTAAATTTAGTCATGAAAATCGCTCTTTTCAATCCTTCATCGTACGGTGGATAGGTTCCAGGTGGTTGTGTTGGGCTGATACCTGGATCAATAATATTAACATAGTGTTTACCCTCAGATTGCAACGAACGAACAAGATCTGGGAGGCCATTGAAATTGGTTGGATCATAGGTAAAATCAAGATTAGATCTCATTGCATCAATATCTGTCCATTGAACATCATATGGAAATTGGGCATCATGCATTCGCTAATAAATGGGACAATGAAATTGACAACTACTGGTTTTCATTTTTGAGAATAGTACCTGAATGACGGTTCGCAAATTGTCGATATTGTTGTATCCCCAACGGCATAGATGAAAGCCAAGAGACCAATAAGGTGGCATAGCAGGTTTCTAAAATTCAGTAAAATAAACGAAATCAAACAATCTCGTGTTTCTTTTTTACCCCGATAACATCCCAATATTGTTGAATGACGTCTTGTGCTGTGGGTCCAGTAAATAAATATAAATCGATGATACCTCCAATTGTTGTATAACTAATGGCAGGTAATGGTTGAAGATCAACATCCATCGCATTCGAATTGAGAAAAAAATGTCCATGGAAATTGATTAGTGTATTACTTTTCATTTCCACATTGATGTGAAATGGATGAACACCTAACGACAAACATTTATCGAATATGGACCGTAAAATACATATGAATTGGAAAATGTCTTGTGTGAATATACTTACCATACAGATTAACGTTCTGAACTGGATATTCATCACGAGTCCAAAAGGTTAATTTTCTCCATTCATTTGTGACATTGATCAATAACGGTTGTCGATGTTCACCAAGACCATAGAGAAATGGACTGGAAAGATAGCTTGAAAATTTAATGAATTGATCGGCATAAATCAGTGGTGATGTACTGGAATCGAATCTGAAATCGAATACATGTAAGCATCTTTTAATAATACAGCAAATACTTTGTACCACTCAGAAGAATGATCTTCTTACTATACGAAACAGTCGTCCTTCGATCAATTTTTGAGCATTACGACAAATGCAATCCTAATAAAAAAGTATACTCACAATGTCACACCGGTTGATTTTCGTTTGACAAGAATAGCAAACGGTGCTTGATTCAATGAAACTTCGTAATCAGTGACATTAGATTTTGTTCCAACGACAGGAACTGGAAGTGGTACCTCGAAACGTTTCTTCGTTGAATCATAAATTCGTAAACGAAATCGTTGTGCTGTTTCATAGAGAAGATCAACTGTCAAATTCAGAATTTCATTAGGCATATAAGTTGATTGTTGTTTAACAATTGTTAATCGTTGGCCAAAAACAGTTGATTCATTAGTTATTATTTTATATGTTGGAAAATCTCGTGGATAATAACAAGAAGGCACGTTTACTTCAAGAGAATTAGTCGAATGATTTGTCGATGAAAAGATCGGTTTCCAGCAACAGTAACGAGCCAGGCATTTTTCTGATGATGCAAATGGTTCAGGATGACAATCGAAACGTGCTGTTTCCACAGGTTGATCACATTGTTGTGCAGATATGGACCAGATGAAAAATATTATCATAATCCATTTTATCATGGAAAAATGTGCCATTCAATGGACACTTTTATCTAGAATCGAACGAGACAGAGCAACAAGAAATAAACGTACGAAAATCAATTACCATGGAACTGAATGTAAGAAGCTCAATTTTCTTTAAAAATATAAATTTCATCTTTTCGAAACAACTGCTTAATTTTTAGCTATCTGAGATAGAAATAAAAGATACATCTGTACTGACAACACCGTTACTCTTTACCTGATGATTATTATTAGATTCAACCAAAAAAAAACCGTGCCGCATAAATTCAATGTATTCTGTCCACTGTTTGTGGTTCCATACTTTGAGGCTCAAAAGTAGTTCTTCACCGCCTATGTACCGTATATTTAAAGTAACTATTTCAACTCAACAAAGCAGTACTTTCTGTCTTTCATTCAAGACTGGCAAACAGTTAGAAGCCACTTTCTATTAGTAAACAAAGATAATTCAAAGTAATGAAGGTAGATAAGAATATATTGTTGTGCATGTGGTAGTGTGATATTTGCTTTTCGAGATAACAATGTGTAACCTAATATTTTTCGGAATTTTTGTAGATCTATGATTAGCAGCTTAAATGCACACCTGATAATTGAAATAGACTGTAAACAATCCATGGAGTAGGTTTGTTTCTAAAAAGGTCGGTTGGAAATCTTACAAAACCTGACTAGAATGCTAATAATATACGATTCGATGTGTCTTCATCTCCTCTTCCAAGCTCTAACAATTATAGTTCTCTATTTCGTTTCTATTAAAATCTATCAAAAAATACTCACGAATCTTTTTTAAAATGAGTATTAATGTAACCGTCACCTATCACAAGAAATAGTTCGTTGTTGAAATTTTATTTTTTATTTTTGTATTTCCTTGACGGGATATGGCTGTGATTGTGACTATTCTGTGCACGCACCTATATCAACATCCTGAACTGAGATGTTTCTTTCAAAGATTAAGAATTATGAACAACGGAGATAAGCATGTGGGGTGATTTAATACTCATGCATACCCACACCCACACCTAAACCCTATGGGTGTGAGTGTCGGATGTAACTATAACTGAGATCTACACAGCCACAGCCACACCCCACCCAGAAAGCCATTAGTCACACGTTTTTTATTCAAAATATTTGTACAAACACAAGAGTGACTTAGAAAAATATATCCATTATTACATGTAGTTATTACATTTAAATTTAAATCCGAGAAACAGCCTTCGTTACTTTTTAATTCAAATGCATCGGTATCTTAGAGATAAGTGTAAGGAGGAGAACATTCGTTTATGTTGTGAAAACAATATCAACAGTTGCCCGTTTTCTCACAACCACGCAGATATTATCTTTTGCAAAATTTGCGTCCCATTTGCGATGAAGTCATATGCAAAACTTCACAGACTCTTACTGTTAAAGCCAATAACTACAATATATATACACGATTTAGTTGAATATCAGCAAGATAAAATGCTCGCATTGCAGTAAATACTGTTAGAAATCGAAAGAAATTTAATAGGTGAGTACTTACATTGTCGTTTATGCTCGACAATAGTTGTTTTTATCGATGTTCTGTTTATTAATGGATATTCTCGTCGACCGAAATCTTCAAAAAAGTTTTTTTTTTCACGGCCGACAACAATATCTTCCATATATATTAATGTAACTAACTGTCAGTTTTACAAACACTGAGTTTTATACGATGAACTGTAGAAGAATCTTTTTCAAATGTTGTTTCTACTAAAAGTACGTCAAAATGAATAGTATGTTATATAGGATTCGAATTGTTTCTATGCGAAAAATCATTCTGATTTTATTGCGAATAGATACAAGATACGTAGTTTTTATAATGTAGACTTTTAGTAAATTATTGCTGGTTTTTCCATTAAAAACAGCACATTTCCGCTGAAGTTTCTTCTATCTTCGCGAATATACAATAAAGTGTTGGAAGACTTTTTCTGTGTAACACATATATAGAGTAGAATACAATTTAGTATTCAGAAGCTGTTTTACTCTACTTTCGAATTTTAGTGCTAACCATGTCAAAAAGTTGCAACTCATTCATATACACGGCTACTATTGCAGATATACCTTCAAAACACAATAGAATCGAAAAAGATGCATATATATATGTACGACCTTGGAAATAAGTTTATGAATGAAAGTAGAAAATAACGAAACCCGAAGTTTTGGACCTTGGTGGATCTCGAATCCATTAAGATTCACTTTTACTTCTCTAGGCGAACGGTTAGGATGAATATGTAGCAAAGACAAATGGATGAGAGAATTCATCCATCTAGGGAAAAATATAAGTGGTAATTAAAACTTTTACAAAAATACAGGAACAGAGCAACGAGATTAATAAACGTAACTAATTATATGCAGAACGAAAGAATGAAGGATGGAACGAATATAAAGAAATGAAAAGCGAAACTTGTGAATGAGTTGAATCAGTGAATACATGCAGAAATATACACTCAATCCAGACACTCATGATCTATCAGATATCTAATCCGCATACGAATCATGAGTCACATCACAGGTCGGACGGGTTGAATCAAAACGGGTTAACCTGCTAACAAATCTGTTTGACCCACCCCAAATATTGTTTTTTTTCTCATTAACGTGGGAACCTATGGACATGTTCACCTCCAATTCTAATGATTTATACATGATTTGACAGACTATGCCAAGACAGTAAATAGTCTAAAGAGATTTTTTCCCATGTCGCATTCTCAAAAAGTTATTGCTAAATTTTTTTTAGAGATAATTCTATGACTCCACCACATATGTAGAAAATTTCAGATGTTTATCAATTATTTGAGTTAACTTATAGAATCTTCTCTATTTCTGAAGGAGAACCGATGTATTTTCTGCACCAGATTTTTTGCTCATTACTTTTTTTCACAATTGTAACTGTATTACTCATCGTTGCAAATAATATTGGGAAAGAAATACGCCGTACATATAGTCAGAACGAAAGAGAAAGAGAGATCAAACAATGGCAACGAAAAGAGAGTAGAGCTCCCGTAACCATCTCTTCTTTCCCCAACCAGCTGCGCAATTGTGAGCACTGTGAAAATGAACTAAGGTAATAGGTTAGTAGAACAAGAGGAAAGAATAGAAAAGAAAACGAACAATACATTGTTCATGATCATGATGTACTAGCACGAGACATACATTTCACTTACATATACTCCTTTTCGAGTTAACGGTTTCTCTCTCTCTCTTTTCAGGTATTTTTCTGTATTTATTATTTCACCATCAAGTGATAAAAAAAGTACAGTGTTAAGACATTTTGCCTAATCAAAATATTTCTGATTATAGAGGAAAATCGATGCATGTAAGGAACGTGAAAACATGTAGAAGTATGAAAAGAAAGTAAGGAGCAAAAAATTCAGTTCAGAAAATACATCGGTTTTCCTTCAGAAATAAAGAAGATTCTATAAGTTAACTCAAATAATTGATAAACATCTGAAATTTTCTATATATTTAGTAGAGTCACAGGATTATCTCTGCAAAAAATTTTAGCTTTTTCTACCATATTTTGGTAAAGATATTGAATTTTTAATTTTACAGCGTTTCAAAGGCGCTAAAAATAAAAAGTGCAATACCTTTTTGCGAATGCGACATGAGAAAAAAATCTGTGTAGGCTATTTACTGCCTTAATATAGTCTATCAAATTATGTATAAATCATTAGAATTGGAGGTGAACATATCCATAGGTTCCCTCATAAGTGAATACAGATGTCAGAGACATCTTTACCATGTTGTAAATACCATAGAAATTAAATAGTTATTAGATTAGCAGACTAGTGCAATGAGTCCAATAAAGTCTTATCGAAACTTTCTATAAATGTTATGTTTTTCATTTATCGACATTTTCTTAAGTTCTTTTTAGTAATCGTTCGTGTAAAACTTGAAGAGTTAGCTCAATTGGCTGAATATGCTCATATAAACAAATAGCATTCAAATGAGTTTCTACTGTTCAAATGTCAAATGATTTCATATAAGTTCAGCTGAAGAAGAGAAAGAAGTACAAAGACGACTGAGCGGAAACCATGAAGGCAATGTGAAGTAAGGTAGAAAGCGAGAAGACACGAGTGAATACGTGAAAAATTGAAGATTTGGATTCATTTGAATGTTAGTACATGTGCTGACTTTCTCGGTTTTATGTGAACATTTTATTTTCGATTGAACCAAATCTTTGAGTTCTATACAAGTTAAATTGAACTTTCTCATAATTGGATCTATTGTTCATTAAAAAATAACTCGATTAGTGAACAATTAATAATAAAAACATTTTTCATATAGCAGCGATTACCTATCGTTTTGCTTGTTTAAAGCATTTTTTGAATCTTCTGAATTAGAGTATGCAGAGTTCTATATTAGTGCAAAACTCAGTAGATTTGTAACGTTTTCCATGACTACTCATATATTTTCGAAGCAAAATTTCCGATAACTGAAGAAAAAAGAAACAATACGCGCGATTATTATTATTAGTATTATTATTGATGATCATCATATATCATTTGGATGGTATTTTTCGCAATAAATAGACTTTTTATGTCTAATACTCAAATATTAAACTAATTATTATTTAATTTGAATACTAATCCTAGTGTATCATTCCTAGATGCATTCGATAGATCTTATCTTTTTATCAAAAACTTCTTATCCATAAGAATATAAAACGATCGAGAGAAATTGAGATTTAAAATTTTTCTGAGTTTATATGTGCATTTTGATGATGATCTTTTCACAGATCCTCTCTGAAATATAAAATATAATTTGTCATCAATAAAATGGAAAAGGTTTTGTTCGTTCCAATAGTTTATTACATTTTTCATTGATCGCTTGGCTTTTGTGTGAATGTGTTATTAGTTGACGAATCCAAACAAAATGAGTTTGATACACATCAACAAAGAGATTATAAAGAAAGCAGTAATTTTTCTTCTGCATTGTTCGATGCCAAGTCAGTATTGTGAATATTAGTATTGATCTATTTATGTTCTAGATATTAAACATGC